CAGGGTTTACAAATTTTTCAGACAGTGCGATGCAGTTTCTTGAAAAGCAAGGTTTAGAATCTCAGTAAGTTTTTTTAAAAATTCAGCATTATTTAAATTTAAATTTTTCCATTTTTAGTAAAACAGCATTTGGTATAAATGGTTCTTTACTTTTAATCAATGAAGAGTTCTTTTTTAAGTAGGACTGTCACTTTTAGAAATAGCCTCACTCATAATTTTTACATTGTATAGTTAATATTTTTTGTAGAATTCTTATTTGGATTTGCTCTTACTTGATTTAATTCCCCTACCACCAGAAGTTAAACTAAATTTATACCTGAGTCACATATCAAATTCTATGTTGAATATGTAGGTTAGATTGTTACAAATGTAGCTAAAGAGATGCCTGATTTTTATAGTTCACTAAAACCCATTATAGATAATTGTATAAGAGCAGTCTTTTGGTAGAAGTTTACTTTTATTACTGTTATTATTGTGGTGTGTAAAGTAATTGGTCAGAAGAAAGGAAATTCCTAGAAAGTCAACCTAAAAAATTTATCAGCTTTTTCAAAAATTTTGTTTTTAGGGGTCCTGTTTCAAAACTTACTTTCAAATTTTTCCTGGCTCTTTTCTGTTCACTCATTGGGGCTTTTTTGACATTTCCTGGATTACGGCTGGCTCAAATGCATCTGGATGCCCTGAATTTGGCCACAGAAAAAGTTACACAGTAAGCGGAAAATGTACATAAGCACATGCAGATAAATATATGTTTTCCATCTTAATGAAGGTATATTATTGAATGAAATCATAAATTATTGTATTGAAAGTTAATAAATAACCATTTGATATCACACTACTTCCTCTTTCTAATATAAGCAAGTTTCTTTTATTCACTTCTAAATTTTAAGTCCTGTGTTAAAAAAATATATGTATATCATCAATTACTGAATTTCTGTTTTACTTGTTAAAATGGAAATATCGATATTTATGTTCTTTTTAACTTAGAGGTCAATGTTTATAATATTGTAATCTCTACGCTTGAACTAAGCGTCTGTGGAAATTTCCTTAAATCAGAACATTTTAATTAAAAATATTGTATTTAAATTTTATATAAATAATTTTATTTAAATAATTTAATGTTTTTTATTTAAAATATTTAAAAATTTTTTGAAGGTGAAATCTGTATACATAAGAGATGTTTGTTTTCCTTAAATTATTGATCTGTTTGTAAGACTCTTGTTAAAATAATACATTATTTTATTTGGGGATAGCTAATATTGTACAGTGTTAGATATCATAGATTACTTTTAACTACCAAATTCTATTTTAGTTCTCAAATGGAGAAATTATATTTGAATCTGTATATATAGTTCAAAGCCCATTTGCTATATTCTTTATGATTGTCAGATTTTTTTTTGTTGATGTAGACACCTTGGCAGAACAGCAGGTTTATATCTCCTTCACCTCATATCCAGATCCAAATTCCCATCTTGTCTTTTTGTTTTGCACTAGAAGCCCTAGTTGAGAGTATTCCATTTTGATTTATGTATTTATAATCATTAAGTTTCTCTGAGTGATCATATTTCCTAACATTTCTGCTCTTTAAAACCCTATGTTTAATGATGCAGATTCTCTAGTCTTTTCACATTCTTATCTCTATGTCATTTTCCTTTATTTTAATTTTGACAGCCTTTTTGTTTTTTTCCTTACCTCCATTTTTCTACATGTGCTTTGTGTGTGTGTTTACTTATTCTCACCTCCCACGACACACTCCCTCATCCCTCTTTTTCCCCTCCTTTTACTCAGCATGCTCTTGGCTACATCCTGCCTTTCTCCCACCATCCTATCTCTAATGGTTTCTTTTAAAACAAAACCTTGTTCTCCCCCTCCTCTCTACACAGACACTTCAGTCCACTAACCCCAGTGTTATGATTTAAATAAGCTGAAAGGGGGGTGGAGGGGAGCCCTTCACCAGCTACTGAAACCGCTGTGGGCTGCTCCTTGATACTAGAGTGTTCCCTAGCAACACTGCATACCTAATACTGCTGCTTTCTTCCCCCGCACCGATGGTTTACCCAGGCTGGGGGATGAAAGAATCACTTGATAAAAATATCTAAAGCGTTTACTGTTGGTTTGGAGTTGGGGGGTCACGTTTTAGTTTCCTTTTCAGGAAAAGGTGGCTTCCTTAAAGATTTTTCCCTTTGGGGATTTGAAGTTTCATTTTATTTTCAGTTTATTGCATTGTGTTGTAGCACTCTGCCTTGATACGAGGGTGTGGGCAAGCTAGTTCTGTTGTGAGAGTAGCATGACTGGCACAAAGAGCAGCATGCTCCTCACCCCCATGGTCAGGCACTGGTACTTTAATACCAGAGCTTACAACCAGAGTTCCACCTTTCTCTGTCGGGTGTTCATGTTTCCCCACCCAGCCCTGTTTCCTCACATAGAGCACTGTCATTTGCATTATCGAGATATTTTAATGTGTGTGTGTATGTGTATTTTAAACCCTCCAGTTTAGCCCTTCAGCCTGGTTGATAAAGCAGTACAGGATAGTAAAGTAGTCTGAAAGATTTGTCTTGTTCTAAAATAAGAAAAATCTTTACCAGTTATCTGTCTCTGTAGGATACAAACTTGGGACAACAATTAGCAATGAAGTTAGAGCTCAGACCTGAAACCTTTTGCTGTGTTAGGTATACTGCCTTGTCAGGAGTAATGTAAATTTCCTTGGTTTGTGTAGGATAGGGAAATTAATTTCAGATATAGTCATAATACTCTTAAGAAGGAATGAAAATATGTGAATCATTTATGATTTTAACAATGTAATTAAAACATTATACATGATCATTGCATATTGAAAGGTTCCTCAGTTATAAGTTGTTGCAGTAGGTTCCATCTGTCATATACCTTCTAATATTATGGACCTTGCTAATCATTCTTTCTTACTTGTAAGTAATAAGAAGGCACTTTATTTCAGCTGCACTGAAAAGTATCAAAAGACAACTAAAAATCCATTGGATTCATTGACTGTGTAAAGTTAGAGAATCATTTAAGTACCTGTGTATTAAATCAGGGATATATTAGGGGATTGTTAGAGAACACTAGAATAGAAATGAACAGAGTTAGATTTTAGTGCTAGATCTGCCCCTAACCTGTAATATTGCCATGAGCAAGTCATTTAACTTGCCTGGATCTAGAAGTTTTCATCTGAAAAACTAAGATAATGAGGTAGTTTTGCTAGGGCTCAAATCAATGTTGAGTGATGTTCGGTATAAAATAATGGTGGCAGTAGTACCTTAATACAGAATACTGAAAATAAATTCCTACTTTCATTTTGTAAATCCCAAGTTTCTGTAGTTTATTAGTGTATTTTGTTTCTGGATTTTTATATTTATTTCTTACATACTTTCAGAACATTACTTCATATCAACTTCTTGGCACCTTTGTTTATGGTTCTGCTCTGGGTAAAACCAATCACCAAAGACTACATTATGAACCCACCATTGGGTAAAGAAAGTGTGCCTTTGTAAGTATGCGTATTTGAGGGCTAATTTTTGTTTCATTATATAATCAAAACTGTTTCCAGAGTATTATATTTAAATTGTATTTAAGTTTTTTAATGATAATATTAGGACATTGTATTTTTTAAACATTATTAGAAATGCTAAAAGATGTGTTACAAAATTGACCAGGTCATCATTTAACCTTTTTGTGATCTTCATTAATGAATGTGAATGATTATTACCCCGCACTAATATTAACTGGTAAGTTTTTGTGCTTTCTCACTTAATGTCCCGTTGTTATGTGACATTTTTCTGTTGTTGTTGGGCGTGTTTTTAAGATATCTTCTGCAGTTCTTTTGCTTTCTCTTAATTGTGAAAGTTAGGGAGGAAAAAATGAGTAGTATAAATGGAAATTCATATATTCAGCCCCTATAAGAGTTGCTGACATTTTCCACATTTGCTTCACCCTTTTTTAGTTTTGTTTTTGATAAAGTAGTTTTTCAAATAAATGAGAGACATAACATTTTTACCCCTGAGTACTTTAGTGTACACCTCTAAAAAATAAGAACATTTTCCTACACAACAGTAGTATCATCACACCTAGGAAAAATAATGCCTTAACATTATTATCTAATATTAGGTCATTTTTCCCCACTTAGCCAACTATATTTTAACAGAAGATAGTAAAGAATGTAAAAACAGTTTATTATAAGGCATTAATAACTGTACTTGATAAGTTAACTGTTAGCCTCGTGGAACTATGTTAGAGTAATAGAAAGATTCAGACAGAGCTGGTTCAAACCCCAGTTCTGATCCTCGCTAACACTGTCACTTGAGGAGGATTATATAACTTCACTGAGCCTCTGTTTCCCCATCTGGAAAATGAAGATAATAGTATCTACCTCACAAAGTTATCATTGGAAATAAATGAAAGAACATGTGTAATGCAACCAGCTGGAAGTAAGTGCTTAATAAATGTTCCTTCCACTGCTTTGCCTCATCAAAATTAAAATAGAAACCCTTGACTAGTCATGGACTCTACAGTGTGCATTTTATATTATGTATTTCTTTTAGATCCTGGTACAAATTTTTCTTGGAATATATAATCAGTGATGACCATGACTTTTTTTTTTTAAGAGTTAATCTTACTGAACTAGGGAAGTATTCGTTGAAGTCACAATGTTTTTTCCTCACACGATTAAGCTTTAATGGTAATTTTAACTTGACAGATTCACTAAGTATTTAAAAGTAATCTTAAGGACCCTAGGGTTCTAGGGCTGCCTGGTGGCACAAGCAAAGGGCGTGCACTCTGCTGCGGCGGCCCGGGGTTGGCTGGTTCGGATCCCGGGCGTTCACCAAGGCACCGCTTGTCAAGCCATGCTGTGGCGGCGTCCCATATAAAGTGGAGGAAGATGGGCACGGATGTTAGCCCAGGGCCAGTCTTCCTCAGCAAAAAAGAGGAGGATTGGCAGATGTTAGCTCAGGGCTGATCTTCCTCACAAAAAAAAAAAAAAAAAAAACGATCCTAGGGTTCTAGACAAAATCTTCTAACTCATGTCTTTGATGCTAAAAGTATTCCCAGTCTTTCCTTGAAGTTTAGCCTTAGAAGTTGGATTTTATACTCTTGTAATTATGTTCTCTGATTTTGTATTTGCCTTAGTTTAATTAGGAAAACAAACTAGCATTTATGATGCATCCATCATACACCAGTTATTATGCTAGGTATTGATACTTCGTGTATTTTATCTCCTTCATTCTTATAGTAATTCTCTATTTGTGATTGTTGTTCTCATCCCATTTTATAGATGAAATAACGGACTCAGAAGTTAAATAATTTGGCTAAGATTATTCAGCCAGAAATGGTATATATAAAGCATTTAGTGGTTATACCAACATTCATTTCCCACTTTCAGCCTGACTAAACTTTGTGCAGATTAGTAGTGAAGACTATGCTAAAGGAAATGGGGATAAGGAATTTTTCCCTTGGGTGTATATTAAATTATAGGAAAAATTTGGTTGTATACAAAGACCTAGGATCCTCTTCCTATAGCTTTATTTCCTTTGTCCCATCCCCATTTCTGACCTGTTTTATAAACAATTCAAACAAAATTACAGTCTTATCTCTGCTCCATCCTATTCTTCTTTATTTGTCAGACCATTACATTAAGTGATGAGACAGAGATAATTTTAAATTTTTGTTTAAAATCCAAAGTCCATGTGGTAGATTGAGAAAGAATGGCTGCCCATCAATCAAAGAGAATGAGATCAAGAAGAAAGCAAGTGACAGGTCTTCATCTGTCACTTGGACTAAATGGTTTGTAGAAAGGTCTCTATTTGTAGTCAGAAGCAAAAATGGTTATAATGCAGTTTCAACCCGGAAGTGTATTTAAATCCATCCGTGTGTTCTGATTTGGCATCAAAAAAATAAAATGTAGGCAAACAGAGTCCATATGTGCTCGTGACCTTGTGAGAAGAAAACCAAAAGAGAACATATACAGGGAAACCTAGAATGGCTTTAGGAATTTGGAGAAATTTCCCCTGCCTGTTCTTTATCTATGTATTTTATCCCAGCTCAGGCTCTTTCCTGAGTTACCCATCAGATCAGTTTACCAGATCTTTATGAGGTTAGTTAAATAATCTGAATTAGAAGATACTCTTTAATGACTATTATCCTAAATCCTGAACTCCTTATAAACTGAGTGAATATTTTTTGATTCAGTGCCTTATTCCATTCCCTTCATTCCTATTATCACCCTCAGAGTCTATGTAATAGCTGTCTTCAGGATGCTACCAGTCAGGCATCCCTGCTGCACAGCTCCAGGGAGCGCAGTATTGTCTCTGGGCCCCTGGAAAGGTTCAAGGCTGTGGGTGGCCTTGTGTCCTGTGTGCTGTCAGTCTCACATGGCTGACTCCTTAAGCTCATTGTTCATAATAATGGAAATGTGGATAAAAAGTTAGGCCTTGGGGCCACCCCTGTGGCATAGTGGTTAAGTTCGGCATGCTCCACTTCGGCTGCCTGGGTTCGTGGGTTCAGATTCTGGGTGCAGACTTACACCACTCGTCAGCCATGCTGTGGCAGCGTCCCACATACAAAATAGAGGAACATTGGCACAGATGTTAGCTCAGTGTGAATCTTCCTCAACAGAAAAAAAATGAAAAGTTAGGCCTTTATCCTTCCTAGCCAACAGTGCTTTTCCATTGGAATTTTATGTGAATTTCCTGCACTCATGACCTTGTAAAAAGGAAACCAAAAGAGAGCATACATAATAAAGCATTTGTTCTATGCCCATTTCTAACTTCCATTTCATAAATAGTTCAAACAAAACTGTACACTTTCACATCTGCTCTGCCTTTTCTGTTCCTTGTACTGTCCTTCAGCTGTATTTCCTCTGGCAACTTCTCCTGTATTGTAGTTTTAGTCCCTTTCCTAGGTGCTTAAAGTGCACAGGAGGAAAAGGTGATGATGGAACCTGTGTTGGGGAGAAGTGTTGTAAAGTTTTTATCTTTTCCCATTCATTCTTATTTATAGCCATCCATTCTACCCTCATGGTCTTAAGAATTTGAGGGAGACCCTTTCAGATCCCATCTGGCAGATCACTCCACACATTTCAGCAGTCACATGTTAGGTACCTGATCTCTACTGGAGATTAGACTAGATGCCGAGCATGGTCTAGTCATTACTTTCAAACTACTCACAATGTGATCTTTTATCAAGACCAGAAAACATGGTCTTTTAAAAACATTAAACCCCAGAAGGACATCAGAAATTACCTCTTCTTTCTAAAGTCCTTTAAGGAGCCCTCAACAGTAGTCTAGTTTCTGAAAACAATGGCCTCAGGGTACATCTTCTCACCTGGAATCTCTTGTAGTTTCCTTCTTTCTTTCTCCTAGGTTCCAGTTTAAGAGCACCCAACTTCTCTTTTCATTTCATAGCCAGTTTGTTTCCCATGGAGGAGGGTAGGTAGAGAAAAGGATCCTAAGTATTGCTCTACTTTTTTCTTCTGGATATCTGTTACTACTTTACTTTCATGATACATTTATCTATCTGGTTCTAGTATGCAAGTGAGAGTATTATATGGATAAGTCTATGGCAGAGTGGAATACTTTTGTTTTATATCTCCAAGTATATAGCTAAGTATAGACTTTCTATATCTTTTTTGTGTGTGTGTGAGGAAGATCAGCCCTGAGCTAACATCCATGCCAATCCTCCTCCTTTTTTTTTTCCCCTTTTTCTCCCCTAAGCCCCAGTACATAGTTGTATGTCGTAGTTGCACATCCTGCTTATTGCTGTATGTGGGAAGCCGCCTCAGCATGGCCGGACAAGCGGTGCGCCAGTGCGCGCCCAGGATCCGAACCCGGGCCACCAGTAGAGGAGGGCGCGCACTTAACCGCTAAGCCACGGGGCCGGCCCCTAGACTTCCTATATCTTAAATGGTGAACATTAACACATATAACTAGCCTGCTAGCATATTTTGGTCTTTGAGAGCACCATATCAACTTTTTGATCTGTAGAATGACAGAAGCTACATTCGATACTCTGCGACTCTGGTTAATAATCCTGCTGTGTGCTTTGCGGTTGGCCATGATGCGTAGTCACCTTCAAGCTTACTTAAATTTAGCCCAGAAATGTGTGGATCAGATGAAGAAAGAAGCAGGGCGAATAAGTACGGTTGAGCTACAGAAAATGGTAAGTTTTATACTGTAGTATGAAGAATGGCAAATACTGTGTTGTAAGAAAAGAAAGAATTTGGTTTCCTTTAATAGATAGTAATTTTACTGCATAATATTCTTATTGTAAATAAATGGGATAATCTTAAACTGACAGATATCGGACAGACCTTGATCTGATTTTGGTGCTAAGTGAAGAAAAGGTCTCAATTCTTCCTGCCTGAAGTGGTTTAAGTATCATACAGTTGGGTGGTACAAATCTGTGATATGTCTACTATTGCTAAATGGGACCTCTAATTGATTTGAAAGACATTACGTGTATATTGTCCAGCCTTTATGGCTTAAAGGGTAGGAAATATTAGTTTTAGTGACTATATTTATTCCTTTTAACATTATTGCAAGTACTTGAACATGGAATGTAAATATTTAAGTTAACGGGGCTTCCAGAGAAGGAAAGTGCTAGGAATCCATCCGCCATTATAGTGGACTGGACCTATAATCTGATCATGTCTTTTTAAGAGATTTGGTGTTGAGTCCTCTGTTTTTGACTCTCTTTCATAAGTCAGGAGAGTTTTATCAAGATTTAAACAACTTTTTTTCTGTTTTACTTTTTATGTATTTTCGTACTCTATAATTTGATCTCAGTCAAATATGTTCATATAGCATGGGCATTTAATGTTTTTATTTATGAGGGGTTTATGCTTGTATATGACTCTGCCTGTTGTTATTTAGTTTGATGTTTTAGGTGCCTTGTCTTTAGAGATTTTAGCATTTTATTTTATATTTGAAATGTAAGTGAATACCATTTGAATTTAATGGTTATTTTCTTCAATTTATATTAATCACTTAAGAACTGTTTTTAAAGAATTTATTTTAATATTTTCACATTTTAAAAAACTTATCTTCAAATTGAGCCTTTCTGAAGTCAGTTTGGGGGCATTCATAAAGTGCAAACTTAACTACCATTTAGTTTCCTTCCAAAGAAAGGATAACTTATCTCTTAAGCAACTCAGTTTGACAATTATATGAACGTTTAATTCATTTATAACGTGTCAGCCATATTAGACACTTAAGAATGTTGTTGGTTGCAGGTGGCTCGAGTCTTTTATTACCTTTGTGTCATTGCACTGCAGTATGTGGCACCTCTGGTGATGCTGCTTCACACAACTCTGCTTTTGAAAACACTAGGTAGGCATGCCCTGGCAACTGGGAAACAGGTTTTACTTTCTGCCTGTAATTAATAATGCTTTTTGTTACCTACGGTGAAATATGCCTCTTAAAATCATTTCTCTCTTTAAAAGTTTTAAAAGGAAACATGGGAAACTTTTAGCTGTAGAAGTTGATTCATCATCTTGATTTTGAAAACTCAGAACCATACAGTTTTATAACGTTTTGCTTTACTTATAAGAATTGTTTGCTAAAAATTAATTCCAAATTTACTGAGTCACTTGAGTAAGCACTGTTGATCTTAGTTATTTTGTGCTATAAGAGGATGATTTAAGATTTTGTTAGTGCCTAACATTTAAATTTTCACAAGATACCTGTAAACTTACATGAATTACAGAGTCCTTTGGTGAGTTCTACTTTAGATAACTTATGTTGAAAGAGCAAAGATTTCTCAATGGAAGAACAAAGTTCTCCTATGAGTCTGTTTACTAACCTATCAAGTCCCTGTGTGGTATTATTCAGGAACTATCCATTATTGTATTGATCGTTTCTTTTTGCTTAGATCAAGCAGTCTGCCAATGTGGGGGTTTAAGAAGCCCAAAGGGACTAAAAGTATTATTTGGGTGGGCTTAGTAGATACCATAGAGCTGTTGATAGATGTAAATGTCCTTTAGGAATCTATGGAACATAAAGGAGCAGCACAATTATAAATTATGTGACTCATATCCTATCCAACATAGGAAAGTATATGATGAAAAAACTTCTGGAAGCTATTACTAGTCTCTCACATTGAAATCATAGATAGTTTCTGAGAAAGAAATTTATTCTGATATTCTACAGGTAGAAAAGATTTCTAAGAAGTTATTGAGTCTGTCCCTGTCAATCCAGTAGAGGTAACTGATTCATGTATTATACAAGGAGAAAACTGTTTTTATTTAGCAGATTTTAGTGCAGTTAATTAAAAGTAAATTAGACTTTTAGCTTTTATGTGTACTTTTAATGATAAAGCCAGATTGTAGTCTGGTCAAGTTAAGTGAATTTTTTACTAGATATGCAGAAAGATTATTATTTTACTTTATTTCAGCATAAAGTAACTTTTTATATCACTAAACTTTTTGTTCTTAATTTCAAATATAAGTTAAGGAATTTAGTATTATTTTTTGAATAAGGAAGTTTGGAATTAGTTATTCTCCAAGTTTTATTTATGTCTTGAATTTTCTAGGTAATCATTCCTGGGGGATTTATCCAGAACCTGTCTCTACCTTGCCAGTGGACCACGGTCTGCCCTCCCATTCTGCTCAGTCTGAATTACCGTCTGCTGATGGGAAGATGAAGGTGACTGTCACACAAATAACGGTGGCACTGAGCAGCTTAAAAAACATTTTCACCCCTCTGCTTTTTCGAGGGCTTCTGTCTTTCCTGACCTGGTGGATCGCTGCTTGTCTCTTTTCTACAAGCCTTTTTGGGCTTTTCTATCACCAGTATCTGACTGTGGCGTGAATCTCAGTTAACACAAAAGGATATCCAAGTCATACTTCGAATTCAAGTGTTGGTGCCCTGGAACGGCTGACGAAAACCAGAAGAAAGCAAATGCAAAGGAAAAAAACCATATCAGAATATCTTGTTTTAAATGCTTCCTCTGTATTCTCAGGGTGAATTAATGGTATAATATTTAAAATTACAGAATAGATTGTTAACTGCTATACTGTGGCATTGGAATTTTAACTCCTTGTATTAACTGATGTGAGAGAGCTATCTACAAGGGTAATACTTCTGATTACCTTGGTTTACAGAAACCTCCAGCAGTCTTTGAAACTTCTCACATGACTCCGGTTATTGATTGATTGCTCTTAATGGTATTAAGGTACTGTTAGTATTCATAATGGCTGCCTATAGAACAATCTTCACACTGAGCCATGCTTTAGGGGAGGGAAAGGAGCTAAAGTCGCTTCTGTTGGTAATTAATATATTAGTCATTCTTCAGACAACAACAATAAAATCCAACAGAAAGGAAGAAATAGCTACTGTATATTACAGTAAAGAAAGCTGAATAGTAATTTTAAATATAATGGAGATGTACATGCTTAATATCTACAAGTACTGCTGCCTGAGAGTAGCAAGAGTATTGTTTTAAAATGTGTTCTATCCAATTTGAGGAATCTTTTAAAATGGTTGACTGTATGAACATTTGCAATCTTGCTGTCAGGTTTGGGCCTCCCATATTTCATTTTATTCTATGATCCTAAATGGTTCTCTTTAATAGTCTAAAAATATTTATCAACATTGATGAGACTTTTAAAAAATTACTTTGTAATCCTGCTGACTACCTGTATGTATTGTGTGTGTGTGTGTATATATATATATATTATATATTAAATATATAATATATTGAGATTATAAAAGATAAAAATATTGAATCCTTATAATATTTTAAGTTGCTGAATGTATGTTAAAATGTGATTGAATGAGGTGTATTTGTATCTAGAAATTTCCTTTCTTTTTGGAATGAGATTAAAATACATTTTGAAAGTTCATCAGAGCAAGAAATTTATTTGTGTTGCCTGTGTGTGAGCATACTTAAAATTTTATAAATACTCAGGTGATTTTTCCCAAATTAAAATTCATTTTCTGTCAAAAATTAGAACCTTTCCCATTCTAAACAAGTCTACGGCTATTATTTAAGCCCATGTTAAATAAGGCTTGTTTTAAATTTGAAGTATTTAGAATTAGAAATATTAAATTTTTATTTTACAGAACAGAAATTGAGGTCATTTGAATGAAAAATTCAAATGAAATGAACAGAAAAAGTAAAATTCTTTTTGATGCTTTTTACATCTAAAACCCAAAATGAAGGATTATAGTTATAAAGGGAACGAATATAAGAGATAACAGGCTTTTTTTTTTTTTTAACAAATAGTAGAATTTATAAATAAATGTTCTTCCATAGAACTGTCTTGAGAGGCTGTATATTATGTTTCAGTGCTATTCTCACTATTGAAGGCAATTTTGAAACTCTTCTTTTGGAATTACTTAAGGCTTGTGGTTCACATTCATTTGAATAATCTCAATACAGCAGATTCCTGTCTTTTGGTGTAGATTAAATATTTTGGAAATAACTGATATTTTAAATAAGACTGAGTGGTAAGTGCTTAAGTTGGATAATACTCTTTGGTTGAAGTGAATTGTGAATATATCCTAATGATAGTTCATGTGTTTTTCCGAAAGAAGCATTCCAAATATATTTTTGAGATACATCAGCATTACTAAAATAAGTATCTTATAACAAGATTACAGCAAAGTAGGACATTTATTTCGTATGTGAAAGTTCTCACATGTTGAACTTGAAAAGAATCTCACCTGGTATTTATAACCGTTCTTATTATAAAAGAGCTACATTTAAAAAATTAAAGTTATTATTTTGAGTTTCAAAAATTGTAGAGTAATATGAGGGGAAAGGACATAGAATTCATTATTGGATGGAATAATGTGTATTTCTAAAATACTATTGATTTACTCTTTTTAAACTTGAATTCTCCCTGAGTATACTGTGAACTTGCACAAACTGCACATTAATGTAAGTAATCGATTTGGTTTAGGTTTTTTTAGCCTTTCAAAGCAAATTTGAAGAGAACGATGGTTATAACTACTAACTGGTTTGTTTAAGCATCTTGTCTTGGTACCA